AAATGCTTGAACTGATCAAACATGAAGATGGAAAACACACGATGCAACAATATCAAGCATAGCGTTAGTTCTGGCAGGTCACGTTTGTCAAGCGTGCATCTGCTGACTCTCCGCTGATCCACGTCTACCTATAGGAATACGACGCCTATCTCAGCATTTATATATAAGGTCCTTCAGTATTATCAGCAACTTTCGCGTTGCTCAATAGCTAATGAATGGAGAATTCGGCAGGCAAACACCATCTCTCTAGGATTTGTGCAATCGGGAATTTAGCGAGAGGAATTTTCTCCCCTTATGGACTTCACCTCCAATTCAGTGTTCGAATTGCTGGGGGGGGGGGTTTCCGGATTTAAGGGACCCCCCCCCCAAGTATATTTTTTTAATCCTTAATGCTTAAATGCCCTGGTTTTTCAATAAAACTTTAATACTTAAAATGAAGTTTCAATTGCTGTATTAAATTTAGACCTGCTTATGTTACATCATATTTTAATTTTACGCGTTTTTACAGCATTGCTCATTATAACCAATCACACACGATTCTGTTGAGCTTAGGAATGCAGTAGCCAATCAGAGGCGTTCAGATCAGTCATTGCTGAAACCCCAGAGTGTTGTTCAGACTGAAACTCCCTTTCTGCCACTGCTGTGAACTGACCACCACACAGAGTCAGCTGTCCATGACAGTCCTGCAGCGCAACACACTCAGCAAAATATCGTCTGAAAATCCCAGAAAATACAGAGATATCATTTTTTTGTCAACATCGCACACCCCTTGGCTAGATACTTAATTCTTCTTTGCTTAGTGATTGTTTGGTACACCTAATTCACTGATCATCGTAAAATAATCTTTTATCTTAGAATTAGGTTTTCTCAATGATAACAAGAACAAGACAAAAAATATGCATCATAAGTATATAGAGTTTTATTTTATTTATTTATTTATTTATTTATTTATTATTGTGAAGGGGGTGGGGGGCTGGTTAGAGAGACCCCCCAAGAGCTTTGACACAATGCTCAAATTCATTCAAGATAGTTAACTTGAACACGAGCATTCACAGAGGTGTTAAGTTCATTTTGTTTTCGATATTCCTCACACATTCAGAATATATTTTCTGCCTCATTCTGTGACAAAAAGCGCACATCAGATCACAAAATGAAGTTATTTCAAACACGCGTCTGATGTTTGTTCTGTAAAGGGTACATTGAGAGTGAGACTAATGTTGTTGTAGGGACCTAGGATGGTGTGATACGGTTATCATGACATCAGTTCCTGAGTAAATATGTGACAGTGAGCATTACATGTGTCCGGCTCGTTGTTATAGCATAGTGTACTCAACATCAGAATCAGAATCAGAATGAGCTTCATTGCCAGGTATGTTTACACACATGAGGAATTTGTTGTAGTGACAGAAGCTCCACAGTGCAACAGAATGACAGTCACAAGACAAGACAGATAATAAAATAGTAATATACAAAATAGACAATGTACAAAATAGCAAAAACACAATATACAAAATAGACAATTTTGTATGTACAGGTATGTTATGTGCAAAATTGAAATGTAAATAAGTATGTGTGTTAAATACATGTATGATAGTGTTGTGTGTTCCACAGTTATTGTCAAGTGTTCATGAGATGGATGGCCTGAGGGAAGAAACTGTTCCTGTGTCTGGCCGTTCTGGTGCTCAGTGCTCTGTAGCGTCGACCAGATGGCAACAGTTCAAAGAGGGAGTGTGCTGGATGTGAGGGGTCCAGAGTGATTTTGCCAGCCCTTTTGCTCACTCTGGATGAGTACAGTTCTAGGAGAGAAGGGAGGGTTGTACCAATGATTCGCTCAGCAGTCCGGACTACCCTCTGTAGTCTTCTGAGGTCA